CTCCACTGAGCTATTTGGCCAGTCCTTCACAACTGTTTAGATCAGAACTTTTCTGGTTGCAAGTTTCAGACAGCCAAAGCATTTGCTTAAATCAAGAGAGTACTTATTGGTATATTTGCTTCTGACTCTGGAAAATCCAAAAGTACGACTTCAGGTCTACCTTGCCCAAAGGCTCCAAAGATACTGCCGTGCTTGATTTCTCCTTCCTCTCTGTTATGCTGGGCTCTGCTTGATTCTAGGAGTGATTTCCCTTACAGGAAGACACTGGGGTAAGTCATAGGGGTCCTAAGCAGCTCACCCCTCAGAGGGACCCAGTCTTCTAATACCCATTAGCATCCCATTGTTTCTAATGTAGTGTCCACAAGTGGTAGCCAGGGACACAAAGTCCTCATTGGCCAGATGAAAGCCCCATGTGTGGTCAGGATTGACAGCCCCACAAGGTGGACACAGATGACCCTATGGAGAGGCAGGGCACCCTAGCTGATGGTTGGCTGGGAAGGAGCAGAGTCTCCGGTGCTGGTGGGAATAACTCCAGGAGCTCAGAGTTTACAAATCTCAACCCCGTGTTGTGGGTACAGCAGAACACACATACCCACTGGGACCTCCCAAGCAACTCAGTGACTTCTTGTCACAGATCTGGGGGCTCTCGCCATCTCTCACCTCTGCTCTGTGTGCCTCTCCCCACTCCAAGCTCACACGGGCTTCTCTTCTCCCTCCTCATTCACTCCAGAGTATGTGCTGAGCACCCACCACATGTCCACTGTGTGCTGAGCACCGTCCTAGGTGTGGGAGTGCAGCAGTGAGACCAGCAAAACCCTCGTGGGAGGTGGGAGCACCAGATGGGAGGACAAGTGGAACACGTTCCTTGGACTAGCACGGGAAGGGCTAAGCGAGTGGTAGGGTGCGTGGGCTGTCTTCCTGAAGGTGGCCAAGGAAGGCTTCTCTGATAAGTAACATGTAGAGACCCAAAGGAAAGGATGGAGCCAGGCCCAGGGATGCCCAGGGCAGAGTCTGCTTGGCAAAGGCACGTCGGGTCCAGTGTTCTCAAGAGGGACATGCTTGGTGTGGCTCAGGCACAGCCCGCAGGCCAGCAGGCTCAGAGGGAGGTAGCAGGCTGAGTCAGGTGAGCACCACAGCAGGGATACTTGGTAGCACAGTCCCAGGATCTGGGTCTTGATTTTGAGGGAAGCGAGGACCTATCTGAGGGGCCTGAGCAGGGCAGCAGAGTGGCCAGCTGTATATTTGGGAGGACCTTTTGGCTTCCGGAAGCAGAAGACCAATCAGAACTTTTTTTGCAAGTCCAGGATAAGGACCACGTGGCCTGGAAAGGGATGGTACAGTGCAGTGAGTAGGAAGTGGCCATATTTTGGATCTGATTTAAAGTGGGACTGTCTGGTTTTGCTGATGGGTTGGATGTGGGATGTGAAAGACAAGGAGGAATCCAAGAAGACTTGGGTTTGGAGCGTGAATGGCTGGTAATGTTGCTACCCCTCACTGATATGAGGCCAGCCGGGGAACCCTTGCAGGGCCGGTGGGACTGGACCTGTCTGGGGACTTGCCTTGTTGCTTCCACACTTCCTAGTTCTATTTTTTGAGAAAGGAGGATGGGTTGGTTTACCACAGATCTATGCACAAGTCCAGTTGTGAACTGGTACAAGCTGGCCTACATGCGCATCAAGTGACTACGGGTGGGACACATCCCTGGAGGAGCCTGTCAGGGCCACCGGACAGTCTTCTTGCAACGGTGCCGTGTCTGCCACAACTTGGTATTCTGCCTCCCATTGCCATTCTTCTCCAGGTACCTGCTACTCCACCCACACTTTCCCTGGTCCCTTTCTACATCTTCCTGCCTTTTTTCCCTGCTGTACGCTCAGCCTGAGACATGTCTTCTGATTGGTCATAGAAGACCTTGAACTCTGTGGAGTCAAAGGAACTCTGTGGAGGTGGAATGGGGCTAGCAGAGTCCGACAGATTCTGGGAACGGTGAACAGAAGCTAGAGAACAGGTTCTCTGTTGCTGGGGGTGTGTGAAGAGGCTACGGTCAGACTGGGGTCCTTGGGTGGATTCCAGGCTGAACCAAGCACCCCAGGAAGAGCATAGCACAACCCTTACTGTGCACTTCAGTAGGAGAGAAAGCAGATATAGAACGGATGGGAAGAGGCGCCGGGGGACCCACATAAGTGGCCTGGCTCCCGGTGTGTTGGACTGGGCAGACCAAGACTCCCTGTCTGGGGGATGTGGAGGCAAAGCCAGGCCCTGGGGACTGAGTGCCTGCTGTACACATGATGAGGGTCGCACTCAGTGAACTGCCCCAGGCCAGCCCAAAGCCCGAGCAACCTTCAGGAGCTTCCCTGATGAACGGCAGGCAGCTAGCATGAGTTCTGCCAGCCTGGGCTTTGGAATTCTGAGCAGGATTCCGAGGTCGACTGTGCATGTTCTGGGGGCACAATACAATGCATGGGTGTGAGAATAACCATGAGGGCAGACGTTCTCATTTCAGGGCACTCCAGTTTTATAAGATTCATAATATCAGTCCAGTAGCACATGTATGTAATGCATATATGTGTGTGTGTATATGTATATATTTCATAATTCTTTTGCAGATATACTGTATGACCGAGGAAGCTTGGAGACTGCTGTCTGAGGAGACCATGGTAACAGGGGTAAGGTCAGGGCAGGGGCAGGGAGGATGCAGGATGGAAGAGGGAGGAGGCTGGGTACTTGCTGATTTACTGGAGCTCCTGCCTATCCTGATGGTGGCACAAGATGGGTTAGGCTGGGCAAACTGGCTTGGGGAAAGGCCCCTGGCCCCTGGTAGGAAGGCCGAGTCAGGAGACACTGCCCCAGCCAAGGGGAGGTTGTTCCTGGTCGCCCCAGGCCCTGGGGGAGGGCATTCTGGAAGCCAGGGCACCCAAGTTCTTCTAGGTGAGGAGTGAGGTGCCTGAACAAGAAGGCTTTCTGAGGTGGAAAAGGGAGGTATCGGGGTGGAGCAAAGAGCTAAAGAGGGTGCCGTCCGGAGCTGCGGCTGGCTGTGGGAAGGAAGGTCAGGGAGATTCTCAGCATCTCTGACCAGTGGCAGCACCACTGTGGACATCTTGACATCCTTTCCCCTACTAGGAACAAAAGGGCAAGGACAAGGCACAGATCCTTTGCTGTCATCTGGCCACAAGAACAAGGATTTCTAGAAAGAAAGCCCCCCAGTACTCACTTAGGGACACACGGGCACCTAGGAATCGTCCTTCCAGGAAGCGCCAGGCCTGCTGCCCACCTGCCAGGGCTGCCAGAGGGGGTGAGGACCTGCGGTACTCTAGCTCTGAAGTAGACAGTGTGGAAACTTCTGCCGTGGGAGGGGTCTCAGGGAGCTTGGCTGAGACGCAGACTGATGCAGTTGAGAGGATTGTTGGAAGGATTGTCCGGAATCTACCAGTGTAAGGAGAGCCCGGGGCCAGAGACAGGGAGAGACAACCCTGGAGCCATGGGGAGTGGCATACAAAATTTTATTATTATTATTATTATTATTATTATTATTATTAATTTCTCCTGTGCACACACAAAAAAAGATCAAATCGAACCGACGCGCAGAAACGGCTGCCGCGGCCCAGGTCGTCGGTCGCGGAGCCTGCCAGGTCCCGGAGGCCTGGCCGCTGCCTGGCGTCTGCAGCTGGGGCCGCAGTCCCCTCACCTTTTCCCTTTACTCGCCTTTCTTCTTCAAATACAAAGGCTCGAAGGGCTGGGGTATCTGGAGAGGACTCCAAGCCTTTTGAATTTGTTCAAGGACTTTTATTTATTATTATTTATTTTCACTGTCATTGACTGTTTCTGTTATTCGAGTCGTCACGATCCACGGGACAGGAGACATGCAGGGCGCATCGCCGCTACCGAGGGCAACTACCGGGGGCGAGGGCGGGCGGGCGGGCGGGCGGCGCGGGACGGGCGGGGCGCGAAGTACAGAGAAGGAGCCAACGAACGGCGCGGGGTCCACGGGACCTTGTTCGTCATTTGCATAGAGATTTCTTTCTTAATTTTTTGTCACATAAAAAATGCCCCTCCCCATCGTGCTGTGCTTGAAGTGGGCGTGGCCGCCCCTCCTCCGCGCGGCGGGCTGGGCACGCGCGGCCGGGCGCGGCGG